ACAACAGTTCGTTCTGGTTCTCAAATCTGATTGGTTGAGAACCGTGAGATACTGTATTGTATTGGTATTGCTACAGGACCACCTTTTACAATTTTGTATCACTCCGCTTGTTCTAGCCGGGTCTATGTTTTTTTTTTTATTATTCATTGAGCTAATCGTAGAGTACGTTAGTTAATATAAGAAGAAACGTCTAGTTTCACGGTCTCTCTCTCTCTCATTTGGATGCACGTCTTGCCGCATTGTTTCTCTCTTATAACCTCATTATTTCTCACAATAACCTAACTGAAGCAGCACATGCCCTTGATACGAATTCTAAAAGTGACGTATGTTTAACTGTCAACTTGAGCTTTGAATCCGTGAGGAAGGAATTAGTTCCGCACAAAAGAGGGTTTTATTAGGCACTCCGTTGTTTCTTGTTTAATTACACACATGTTCCGTCGAACTGCTGTATAAATGCAATATCACTCTCGTACTCGAGCGATACTGGCTCTATATCAGCAGCTGTGATTGCCTCTGGCCTAATCACAGCCATGCTGATATAGAGCCGGTATCGCTCTCGTACTCGAGTGATATTGCTCATATATATATATATATATATATATATATACACACATATATATTATATTCATTATAAATTAAAATTATATTAGGGTGTAAAATGTTTGCATCTGGACTAGGGATGGCTCGATATCACTTTTTCAGAACCGATCCCGATCTGATACCAAAACTTCAGAATATCTGCTGATACCGATATCGATCTGATACCAGTGCCGTTTTTTTTAAATCGGTGTAGAATTTCTATACCTCAATGTGTGTTGACCTGATCGTCACTCTTTTGTGTGTTACACACAATCTACTAAATATAGACAACTTCATTATAAAGAAAAATAACAAACAAAAAATATATATAACCATTATCTATGACAAAAATGCTATTATAAACTAGGTTAGTGGACAATTCGATAGGAAAAGTTACTCTAGAAAAGAGTAATCTAATCTAATTTTATAAAATCTAAACTTTTAGTAAAAAACAAAACATTATTTAGTAGGGAACAAATAAAATAAGTGTAGGACTAAATCTGGTAAAATGTTAAACATTGCACTTTGTATTGTTGTAAAATATATTCATGAAAAACAAGTAATATATTTATATATAAATATAAATTAAAAGACATTTCTTTTAAATGTATAGCACAGTAATGTTGCAGCAACATATGATAGATAAGACGAACAAGAAAGGCTATTAATAATCTTTCATTGTGCGAAAGTATTATAATAGGAAAGGCTCCAATACAGACCGGCACAAAGCGCTTATGCGCATCCCGAGCGCAGAATGATGCGCTTGAAGCAACACGGAATCACAGCACGCAGGCACAGCGCTCCGCATGAAGACGTTCAAAGCACAAAGGGAAGAGATAATAATGCGCAGTGTATTAAAAATCTGTGCATTAGTTTATTGAGCCTTTTCTTTCAACCGATTTAAATTTCAGTTACTGTGCTCGTGAAGAACAATTCGCTCATATATATATATATATATATATATATATACACACATATATATTATATTCATTATAAATTAAAATTATATTAGGGTGTAAAATGTTTGCATCTGGACTAGGGATGGCTCGATATCACTTTTTCAGAACCGATCCCGATCTGATACCAAAACTTCAGAATATCTGCTGATACCGATATCGATCTGATACCAGTGCCGTTTTTTTTAAATCGGTGTAGAATTTCTATACCTCAATGTGTGTTGACCTGATCGTCACTCTTTTGTGTGTTACACACAATCTACTAAATATAGACAACTTCATTATAAAGAAAAATAACAAACAAAAAATATATATAACCATTATCTATGACAAAAATGCTATTATAAACTAGGTTAGTGGACAATTCGATAGGAAAAGTTACTCTAGAAAAGAGTAATCTAATCTAATTTTATAAAATCTAAACTTTTAGTAAAAAACAAAACATTATTTAGTAGGGAACAAATAAAATAAGTGTAGGACTAAATCTGGTAAAATGTTAAACATTGCACTTTGTATTGTTGTAAAATATATTCATGAAAAACAAGTAATATATTTATATATAAATATAAATTAAAAGACATTTCTTTTAAATGTATAGCACAGTAATGTTGCAGCAACATATGATAGATAAGACGAACAAGAAAGGCTATTAATAATCTTTCATTGTGCGAAAGTATTATAATAGGAAAGGCTCCAATACAGACCGGCACAAAGCGCTTATGCGCATCCCGAGCGCAGAATGATGCGCTTGAAGCAACACGGAATCACAGCACGCAGGCACAGCGCTCCGCATGAAGACGTTCAAAGCACAAAGGGAAGAGATAATAATGCGCAGTGTATTAAAAATCTGTGCATTAGTTTATTGAGCCTTTTCTTTCAACCGATTTAAATTTCAGTTACTGTGCTCGTGAAGAACAATTCATAGTGCTCTCTACTTCAGTGTTGCGATCTAACAGATACCAGGTAGAAATTAACATGATTTAGAAACAGCACGAAACTCCAGCAAGATAAAGTCCTTTTATGCAGAATCATTTATCTTTATCTACAGATCAAGTATAATATTAGGAACATGAACATTTAATAATCTTGGAGAGAATTTTAGCATTTTGACTGTAGTAACCGAACGTGACGCACAGTTTGAATGCTGAATGGAGGATGACAGACAGCCGCAGCGGAGAGAAGATTTTAGGTGAACTTGACTTGGTAAATAATCATCTGTACCTCACATTAAACTATGGAACGGCTTCAGAACATTTGAAATACAGTACACAAAAACGTTATTGTGCTTTATAATGTTTTTTGTGGCTTTCGTGGGGCTTAACAATAACACAGAATATTATACGCAGATATCGGATTTGGATCGGTCTCGTCTGACCGATACAGCAGAAAATGGCAATATACTGATACTGATACTAGGGATGCGCCGATCCGATATTCATATCGGGTATTGGCTCCGACAGTGCCATTTTTCTCGGATCGGGTATCGGTCAGAGAGGGCCGATCCAAATCCGATATTTTTATTTTTTTTCCCGATTGTGCAAATTATTCTGTGTTACTTCTGAAGTCATACGATAGCTTAATGTGAGCTACATATGAATATTTAAGTCCTTACATTAAAGTTCACACAAACTCTTTTCTCCGCTGTGGCTGTCAGTCATTCGTTCAGACTTTAAACCCTGGTCTTGTTCGGTTACAGCAGTTAGTTCGGTAAAGCTCTCTCCAAGATCATTCGGTGTTCCCATTATACTTGATTTGTAAATACATGTCTATGATTTTGCAAAAAGGACTTTATCTTCTTGCCGGAGTTTAATGTTGTTTTGTTACTTGCTACCGGGTGTCTGTGAGAACAAAACACGGGCGTAGAAAAGACTATAAATAGTTTTTAACGTGCACAGTAACTGAAATTTAAAACTGTTAAAAAGAAAGGCTCAATAATTGTTGCACAGATATAATACATTACGCATCAATTTCTCTTCCCTTTGTGCTTTGCAGTTTTTAACACTAAGCGCTTACAATGTGTGCATCCGGTGTGCAGAATGATACGCTTGAAGCAACACGGCGTCAGGCTGTAACGCCATGTTGCTTCAAGCGCATCATTCTGCACACCGGATGCGCACATTGTAAGCGCTTCGTGCTCATAGACTGTATAAAAACTGTTTGTGCTGCACTGTATTTGTTTTGTCCTATGGTATCTATTATATGTTGTTGCCTTATTAAAAAATATGCTATACATTCGAAAGAAATGTATTTTAATTTTATAGTATATACTTAAACATATATATGAATGTTTTTAATGAATGGATTTTATAATACAAATAGCAATGTGTAACATTTTACCATATTTAGTGCAACATTTTTATTTGTTCCCCACAAAATATTGTTTTTTCACTAAATGTTTGGATTTCTAAAATTATTGTGCACTGATTTTTTTAGAATAACTTTTGCTGCCGAATTATCCACTAACCTAGTTTATGATAACTTTTTGTCATAGATTATAAATATACATAGGCCTATATTTTTTCATATTTATTGTTTATTTTATTTTTCTTTATAATGAAGTAGTCTGTATCTAGTAGATTGGGAAAGAATGATTATCAGTTCCACACACAGAGATATATAAATTCTACATTTATTTAAATGGGGGGAAAAAACTTAACTGGTATGAGGAACGGTATCGATATCGGCCAATATCGAACCCTAGGAATCGGAATCGGAGGCGAAAAAGGCAGATCGGAGCATCCCTAACTGATACTGAATATCGGATCGTCGCACCCCTAATCTGGACACATTTACACTATTATTAGCTTAAACGTTTTTTAAATATAGTTTACATAAATGGACAACTGTATAGAAAACTCTTGTGCAAATCATACTGACTTTGAAGTACAGATATATCACGTGCACACTGATTTTTCTCCATGTCAAAGTTCCTGTTATCCAACCGGTTAAAGTTTCCGTTTTTCCAGATTTTTGACATATTTTCTCGTTTGAACGAAAACCAAAAATGTGGTTTTATGGCATTTGTGGCAGCCACACTTTCGATGCATCCCTACTGCTCACAGGAACTGATTAGAATAGTATTTTCTTCTTGAGGGACATTATGAGACTAGAACGATAGAGAGTCACAGACAGAGAGGGAAACAGAGGGGATAGATTAGAGAGAGCGAGTGAGACTGTCATTCATACCTGAAACTTGTTTATAGAAGAACCTGCACAACCACATTCCAGACCCTTACAACACACACCTGAACTCAGACTTACTTTACCACCAGGTCTCTCGACCAGATTAGATTTAAGGCATAAAAACAAAATAAGCTGGATAAGGAAAATGTCACAATGAAGAACACCATACAGCAAAAAGCACTGAATAAAATGAGAAACCTCTAGTCCAACAAAATACTGAAACAGAGAGAGAGATGGAGGAAGTGAACAACTGTGTCCATGTCCAAACAGTGAACTCTACGGCTTGTCATTCAATCAAAACTGTTACACAACAGCCCCAGTGGGTAATTTAATTTTGACTAAGCACATTAGAGTAAGTGTGTGTGAGAGAGAGAAAGCTCTCTTGATATTTTTGCAAAGCTACTGAAGGTTTTATCAAATTATAATGCAAGTGAAGTGAACCAGCCCAGTCATAGCTTCCAAAGACAAAGAATCCCAGCATGCATCACTGCACTGTTTGAGCTCACATGAATGTGTGCATGGTGAACCCAGATGGCACTTAACAGTTTAAGCCATAGAGGATAATGTCATCAGATTAGAGATTCGGGCTAAAGCACACAAACACAAGCTAATGGTGTAGTGTGATCAAACTGACTTTTAAGGTCAACGAGAGTGGAAGAAACATGGAGAACCTACACTCAATATCCCAAAAATCAGGATGTGATCACAACGATAATGTAATAACTTAATATACAAGACTTCAGTCTGGCAGTCTCTGTCAAAGAGAAAGAGTCTTGTGTAGCAACCCTCTACAATGCAAGTAAATCACTCGCATATGCAACTAAATTTTCACACTGGGTGACTAAATGATGTCTAACATTAGCCATCGGCAAATAAATTCTTAGAGTTTACTCACCAGTGTGCGAGTTGGAGACTAAAAGCTGATTTATACTTCTGCGTCGGACCTACGCCGTAGCATTTACACCGTAGGCTATGCGTCAGTTTTCCTTTATACTTCTGCATCGTTGTCCGCGTCAACGTGCAGTACACATGCAAACCGCTAGTCTGCAGTCTCCCCGGGCATGTTGCTGGTGTAACCCGCAGTACCACGGTAAAAGCCGAAGAGTTGGAGACTAAAAGCTGATTTATACTTCTGCGTCGGACCTACGCCGTAGCATTTACACCGTAGGCTATGCGTCAGTTTTCCTTTATACTTCTGCATCGTTGTCCGCGTCAACGTGCAGTACACATGCAAACCGCTAGTCTGCAGTCTCCCCGGGCATGTTGCTGGTGTAACCCGCAGTACCACGGTAAAAGCCGAAGAAGAAGTGGCTCGTCGAAGAAGCATAGCCGTGACGGCAGCCAATAAATATCAAATCATTAAATCATTATTTAAAACTACAAAAAGGAGACCACAACGGA